CGGACCTAGTATACTATACTGAGCTATATATATATATATATATATATATATATATATATATATATTCAAAATGTGGGATTTATGTATAAAATATGCGACATGCAAAACTATTTTTAATTTAAAAAAGAAGTTTTATTTATTTATTTTTGTCACAATTGATTTTCTTGTAATATGAGTTATATGAGGGCTGAATAATGCCATTGTGGAGGAATTTAAAAAATAGGAAAAGATGGGAGGAACTTCCTATTTGCAATCACGCTAAAAGCGCTATTTACCCTCCTTTTAATGATTAATGGGTGCGTACACTATGCTCCACATGGGATCACACTACATTTACTCCCTCGGGCCAAATAAGGAGATTTTTTTTTATTAGTTTATTTGAAATTTCAGGATCCATCTAAATATAATTATAACTAGATAATCATTTTCAAAGAAATTTTTTTTTTTTTTTTCTTTAACCTCTCGATCATTCCTTTAAAAAATTGGATGGTTCTAGTGCAATTTTGAGATGTCTTTCTTTTGAGGCACATAGAGAGTAAAAGTTTTTTTTTTTTCTTTGAAGTTGGTTGCCGGATCCTAAAGGTCACATCCCCAAAATTTGGGATCTGAAAGACATCTTTATTATAAATTAATATTAATGTGTAAAAAGGAGAGCATGGCAAACCAATAATTAAGATATTTGAAACTAACAGGTCCGGATTGCCAATGAAGGCACTAAAAGGGCGAGTCTTCACAGCACCAGATTTGGCTCAATGTAAAGAGAGAGTGAGCACAAATTTAGTAGAAAAAATAGTGAGAGACAGAGAAAAACGGGTAAAAAAAATTATCTATTGAAATAGGGAAGATGTATCCTTTCTTGTAATGAAAAAGTTTATATAAGGATGCTACTTTATAATGTAGAACTACAGATGCCCCTCAAAAATCTATTGGAAAAGTTAGTTTTAATGTTGAAAAACCGATGGATTTATCATCTCGACATCGAGATGTATGATTATAAAAAATAAAAAGATTTGAAGTCTCAAAAATAGTGCATTTTACAACATATTATCTACACCGTCCATTTTCAAGATTTTTATATGTTTATAGCTCTATTTGATTTCAATCATTTTTTAAATTTAAAATTTTATAATTAGATATAAAAATAGATTTTGAGATAATCCTAATAACATTTTACATCAGAATTATATACCATGAAAAAATTCGGAAGCTCAACATCCAACCATCACCATCCAATGGTCATAATTGATCTAACAGCCATCCAATAGTCATAAACTACAACCACCGCTCCAACAGTCACTAACCATCACAACTGCCGTGCCAATCGAATAAACCATCACAACTGTGCTGCCAATCCAACGGCTAGTATTATAGCCACTGCGGTGCACACATGCTGTCTAATGTGCGGTTGAATCTGGGTGCACACATGCTGTCCGATGTGCGGTTGAATCTGGATTGCATCTCGTACAAAAGGGGCGAGTTACAAAACCTACTCGTACACAGGTTAAAGGCGCCTCAACGCCGATACAAGCATGCAAAGTGTGTCTCAAATGTCCTGGCGTGTACATAGAATCTCATTCTTTCCCATCTGTTCCATAAATATCAGGCTACAAAGAGTAGATACCACTCTTTCATCTTCTTTTTTTTTTTTGAAATTATCAACAGTTCTTTCTTTTTTTTCTATTCTTCAATACGAGACTACAAACTCACAACCTTCTTTCTCTTTATTACAAACTTGAAGAAAAAACTAATTTGAAGTAAACTGCTTGTTCAAAAGGCCCAAAATTCGTACCAAAATTCCAGTCCACCACAAGAAAAATCAAATGGGTACATGAAACCTGAGGTAGCAGCAAGCGGTAACATGAATTTCACAGTGAACCCACATAATGGTAAACTTACAATGACCCTTCATGGATCAAAACACAAAAATGCCTCAATGGACCTTCAGCACCAAAGGGCACTATATACTATGATTCACTCCAGCTAAGCTACAACTCATAGAATCCATGTCTCCTTCACAAACCTCATATTATGTTGCTCTGAATAAAATAACCATAATCCTCTGATCTTGTGTATAGAACGCCTTCAATGGACAGTGAATCAATGGGCTCTGAAGATACACGAAACATAACCGACCTCAACATTCAAACCAAATGGAATCACTCCGTAAGAAACAAGTTTGATAGTTTAGATGTTTAGGGCGTCTTTGATAACCGGAAGTTGCTTACTAGAAGATGGAACTTACATGTTATTGTAGAAGTTTTATGTTTGATAAAAAAATGTATGTTTATTATGAGAATTTCTTAGTACCCCTTATAGGCTTAAAAAAAATTGTGTTTTTAAACGGAACTTAAGAAAAGAACTTTATGATGATAAAAAAATGGAACTTTGTCCCCATTAAAAAAGGCTTGAAACCTCGTGAAGAATTTATCACCGATGAAAACCTAGCCGCGGACCCAACCGTAGCTGCATAGATGAAAACCACAAAAGACGAGAGACCGTCCTCGCCGACCAGCCTCCTCGCTAAAGCCTCAACAGAAGCCCTGATTTTTCTCACTTTATTGTTTTTCTTTCTCATAGCTTTTTCGCTCTGTCTGGTTTTTTCGATCTCCCATGATTTTACTCTTTCTAGTTATTTCTCTCCCCATTGGTTTTTTCTCCCCCTAGTTTTTTCTCTCTTGGTTAGTTTTCTCTCTCTAGTTTTTTTTAGGTAAACTTTCTGTCATTTGTGTTTCAACATCGTTTAAAATTTTTTATGCACAAACCCTCTCTACTATTTTCGGCCATTACATTGATTTTTATGAGAACCTCAACCATTGCCGACCATATTTGGGGGCTTTTGGTGCGATGCTTTTCCTTTCTCAAGCCTCCATTTTTTACATCACTGCAACATATTTTTATGTTTTAAAAAATTTACCAATGCAAATATATTTAAACTAGGATTATCTTTTCTCCAGGATATATCCCTACTTGGTGTATTTTTTGTAGGAAAATTGTTTCATGCGAGTTGGACCGCATTTCTACATATGCAGACAAGAAGTGTAAAGCACCCATCTTGAAGATGGATGGAAGTAGGTGTTCCATCTAAAACCAATGGAAACTAACGGTCCAAATGTTTTCTTACTAGAATTATTATTTCTAGTTTTTTAAATCTATTTATTTTTCCATATTCATGATCTCCATGTTGAGATTACATGTCCTTAAAAATTAAGTCTTAAAATCCATCTCAAAAATAGATTTATTAAGAGGCCTGCACTTCTACATATGCGGGCTAGGCCACATAAAAACTGGTTTTTTGATATATTGTACTTTATTTGTTGTATTCCATTACATTTCTTTTTTATTTTTTTATTAAGAAATCGCGTAATGATTTGAAGTTCGTAGTGAATGAGGTTTTTATTTTTTTAACATCAAATCAGGATTTTACTTTTATTGTTTTATTTTTTATTATTTTTTTTGGTTGTTATGTGGCTCTATACTTTTTTTTTTTTTTATTGTGTTACTTGTTTGGTTTATATGTGCAATATTTTGCTTTCGTTCAATAAAAAATGGACTAGAAATACAATAGAAAACAACTGTAAATTTATTTTGTTTGGTTTACATGAGCAATATTTTAGTTTATAAAGGAATATCAATGTGATAGAAAACAAACTGTAAATTTATTTTGTTTGGTTTATCTTTACTGTAATTAGTTAAGTCTTCACTCTTTTATATTTTTTGTTAGTCTCAGTGAACCCGTGTTTGCGGGGTTTTTATTTTGGATTTCTGAATTTCAAATTTGACAAGTCTTGTTCTACGCATTTTGCTTCGAAATCCTTCTTGTGGTTCAATACTTTGCAATTACAAGTTCCCTTGCTAGATGCTATTATTTTACATGATTTAAGGGACATCTTGCTTGGTTTTTCTAGGTTTCAAAACAAGTCATGCCTACTTATAAGCATGCTAGACTGTGGATTTTTTTTGGTTTGATTAATGCTTCTCACAATGCAAAGAATATTGCTATTCACTTTTTTAGATGGTTATTGCTTTGTTCTACATATTAATGTTTATATGTGTATCGTTAAACATGATGATTGCATTATCCTTTTCTCTTGTTATTAGTTGGGGTTTGTTCTTTTAAATCCATTTGGCAGCATTGGAAACTTAATAGTATATGCTTGAATCAATTTTGTTGGTAGTCTTGTACTGTGAATGTGGTTATTATTTATATGATGCAAAGAGAAAATGAGTGGAAGCCATAAATTTAGAGGTTGAAATAAATAGCGATTGTATATTTTTGTGAAGTCTCTGTAAGTAGGGCCCTGCTTATTATCATTTTTTTGTTCTTCATGTTCATCTTGAACATACACAGAATTAGAAATGTCACTAACATTCTTTTTGGCTAAGGAATATAGCAATGAGGGAATGAAATGTTGATCCTCATCAATAAAAACATTAGGAACTGTGATATGTACTTGTATAGGTGTGATTAGATTAATATGAGAATGCCTAAGATAATTTATGCAATAGATGTATACAATTAAGTAACGAGTTGGATGAATATAAAATAAATTGGAAGACAACCTAAAATGATGTATGCAATTGATGTGAAGTGTGATTGTATAAAATATATTGGAGGATAACCTCGTATAACTCAAAAGTCCTAGTTTTTCTCTCTCTGGTTTTTACTTTTATCCCCTAGTTTTTTCTCTCTGTATTTCTCTCTCCCATGATTTTTTCTCTCACTGGTTGTTTTGTTTGGTTAATATGTGTGTATCTATAAATTGTTTAATGTAAGTGGTTTATTTTGGAAGGATAAATTTGGGATTTGAACAAAAAAATTAGAAGATCAAGATTGTTTTGAAGCCTTTTGATTACATTTGTTGACCAAAAAATAATTTGTGTTGACATGGTCTTTCAACTCCATATTGATCTGATCTTGTGATTCTTTCTAGATGTCCAATTCATGCATATTTGGGACTTACGATATGTCGAAGTTAAAGTCAATAGTGAATTCTGTTTCTTGCACTGTTTGTTGGATATTCCCCCAACTCCTGTGTGTGGTGTTTTGCAATGATTGTTGGATTTTTCCCCACTCTTGTGTGGGGTGTTTTGATTTCAATAAAAGAATTATTGGTACTCATATATTTTTCCTTGTTTTTGATGTGCATATATCATTTAATGATATTTGCCGATTGATCGCATGGAATTGCCATTGGTCACTCTGCAAAATAATTTAACGTTGATATTTAATAGTCCTTCTTGACCACCCAAAAATCGTTTTGAAGTATTGTTCTTTTGGGATTTGTCACTTCTATTTATGATTAAATTATGATATCTTGAACGATATAAACTATTTTCCCCTTGAACGAATTCAATTTTTTGTCTGAATATCCTATCAGAAAAATATCTCTTTCGAATACATATCATATGAAAAATGGGGTCAGCAGGCGCAATTAGTTTTCGTGGATCTGTAAAATGTTTTTAGTACAAGACTTCGAGTGTCTTTGTGAAGGATGATCCTCGTTTGAGCTGAAAAAGCTTGTATTGTTTTATCCAAATGTTCACCTTGCATCAATTCCTGCTCCTTTGTCCGCTGATATTGATTGTGCTACCTTCTATGAACACACTGATTTTTTTTGTTTATATATTAGTAACTTTGAATGCCACCTTCTATGATATATACTTGTATAGGTGTGACTAGATTAATATGAGAATTTCGATAATTTATGCAATAGATGTATGCAATAGAGTGACAAGTTGGATGATTGTATAAAACATATTAGAGAATAGCCTATGATGTGCATGCAATAGATATGAGGTATTGGATTATTGTATAAAATATATTGGAGGATAACCGAATTTGTACAAAAATAAGGCCAAATACGCGGCCAAGAAGACACAGTCATCGCTGGTCTCAAGTTGATAAACAGAAGGCAACTCCTTTACAACTGCCTTCCCTTTCCCCTTCGGAGTGCCCTGACCACATTCGGAATAATCCCCACAAAAGAATTTCACCCATTCCTCGAAGGTGACCCTGCCATTGCTAGACCGGGCAACGATCGACTGGTAGGCCTCGAAGATATTTTGAAGACTGGCGGGCGGCTCTTCATCCCCCAAGTTAGCACCATCGAAAATGACCGAGTTCGGGGGCACAAACTCGTCATACATAGCCTTGATCATCAGGAGACCTCCAATAAAATGAAGATCTAGTGAATATATTCCTGCTTCCCCATGCCCAAGAAGCCAGGTATTGCTAACATGACTCCACGTCTCCAGTAATACCGTTCACCTTACTCCAACACTTTTCAAAAAACGCCGAGAAGGGGCAACCTTGATCAAGCCCGTACTGACGGGCAAAGCGGTAGGGGAAATACCCCTCTAACTTGGCACAGTGAGGAGTCTGATAAGGTATGAACATGAGCTCCTTAATGGTTGTTGGAGCGCCATTTAGCTCCTTCCCTAACTCATCAATGAAGGCACAGTCGGTGAAGCTCCCGACCGGAAAAGGGACCACCTCATGTTCAAAGAATCATTCCCAAATAGACCCCGAGCCTCCCCTGGGGTATGGAAGATGGCCCTCTAGTTGGCAATCCTCATCAAGAAGGGCCACTGTTTATCTCGTAAGCATTAACGCTTGACATAGTTGCGATGTGCGGTGTTGGATGATTGTATAAAATGCATTGGATGATTGTCTAAGATGATGTATGCAATAAATGTGAAGTATTGGATGATTATATAAAATATATTGGAGGATAACTTAGTGATTTTGTAAGACTTTGGCTATATATATATGTGTGTGAGTGTGAGTGTGAGTGTACATGTGTGTGCATGAGACCATACAAAGAACACACATGATGAAGGTATGGAGCCTAATTGTCACAAAATAATAATAATAGATCCGTTGTTTTCCTATAATAGGATGAACCCCCACCCGTCGTCAAGTACAATGGCTAATGATAATATGAGAGCCAAGAGAAATTTGTAGTGGACGCAATCAGAAGATGACTTTTTTATCGACCTTATGAAGAAGGAGACCAAAACCGCAGGGATCGGGGGGCTTTAAAAAAGGTGCATAGCGACTAATGGTGGAAGCCATGAGAACCAAGTATGGTCAAATAAATATCAAAACTAGGCTAAAGAGCAAACACAAATTCTTTAGAACCATGTTCGGTGATATAATTTAATCATAAATGGAAGTGGAACAAATCCCCAAAAGAACAAAAACTTCAAAATCATTTTTTGGTTGTTAAGAAGGACTATAACTATCAACATTACATTATTTTGCAGAATGACCAAAGGCAATACCATGTGACTAGTCGGCAAATATCATTAACTGATATATGCAAGTCAAAAACAAAAAATGATATATGCATGTCAAAAACAAAGAAAAATATATGAGCACTAATACTTCTTTTATTGAAAGAAAACCCACACAAGAGTAGGGGGAAAATCCAACAATCAATGCAAGAAAAAGAATTCACTACTGAGTTTAACTTCTGACATATATTAAGTCCCAAATATACATGAATTGGACATCAAGAAAGAATCACAAAATCAAATTAACATGGAGTTGAAAGACTGTCAACACATTATTTTTGTTCAACAAATGTAACCAAATGGCTTCAAAACAATCTTGATCTTATGATTTTCCGTTCAAATCCCAAATTTATCACACCAAAATAAGTTCCCAAAACCAATTACATGAAACAACTCATAGATAAACACAGATTAACCAAACAAAATAATCAGTGGGAGAAAAAAACCAAGAGAGAGAGAGAGAAAAAACCAGAGAGAAAAAATAATGGGACAGAGAAATAGAGAGAAAAAACCAAAGAAGAGAGAAAAACCTAGGGCTTCTGAGATGAGAAGGCTATCCTCCAATACATTTCATACAATCATCCAACACCTCACATCTATTGCACACATCATCATAGGCTATCATCTAATATATTTTATACAATCATCCAACATTTCACATCTATTGTATACATCATCATAGGCTATCCTCCAATTTATTTTATACAATCATCCAAGACCTCACATCTATTGCATACATCATTATAGGCTATCGTCTAATTTATTGCATACATCATCTTTAGACTGTCCTCCAATTTATTTTGTACACTCATGGAACTCGTTACTCAATTGCATACATCTATTGCATTAATTATCCTAGGCATTTTCATATTAATCTAATCACATCTATACAAGTACATATCACAGTTCCTAATGTTTTTATTGATGAGGATCAACATTTCATTCCCTCATTGCTATGATCCTTAGCCAAAAAGAATGTCAGTGACATTTCTAATTGAGTCTATCTTCAAGATGAACATGAAGAACCAAAAAATGGTGATAAGGCAGGGCCCTACTTCCAGAGCCTGCACAAAAAATATACAATCACTTTTTAGTTCAACCTCTAAATTTTTGGCTTCCACTCATTTTTCCTTTGCATCGTATAAATAGTAACCACATTCATAGTACAAGAATACCAACAAAATTGATTCAAGCAAACACTATTTAGTTTCCAAAAGCATGGACCCTCATTTCATATCTGTCAAATGGATTTAAAAGAACAAACCCCAACTAACAACAAAAGAAAAGGATAATGCAATCATCATGTTTAACAATACACATATAAACATTAATATGTAGAACAAAGCAACAACCATCTAAACAACCATCTAAACAAAATTGAATAGCAATATTCTCTGCATTGTGAGAAGCATTAATCAAACAGAAAAGAATCCATAGTCTAGCATGCTTAGAAGTAGGCATAACTTACTCTAAAACCAAGCAAAATATCTCTTAAATCATACAAAATAAAAGCAAATAATAGCATCTAGCAAGATAACTTGTAATTGCAAAGTATTGAACCACAATAAAGATTTTGAAGCAGAATGCATACAACAAGACTTTATCACACCTGAAATTTAGAAATCCAAATTAAAAACCCCACAACCATCACAAACATGTGGGTTTACTAAGACTAACAAAAAATAAAAAATAGTAAAGACTTAACTAATTTCAGTAAAGATAAACCAAACAAAATAAATTTACAGTTTGTTTTCTATCACATTGCTATTCTATTAGAAACCAAAATGATAACCAAAAAACAACAATATAGAGCCACATAACAACAAAAATAGTAATAATAAATAAATAAAATAAAAGTAAAATCCTGATTTAAGTTAAAAATAAAATAAAAAACCTCATTCACTACCATAGATCGAGCCGTAAGAACTTCAAATCATTACTTGATTTCTTAATAAAAAAATCGAAAACAAATGTAATGGAATAAATATGGAAATGCAGCAAATAAGTACAATATATCAAAAATACATCAGTTAGGGATATATCCTCAGGAAAAGATAAACCTAGTTTAAATATGTTTTCATTGATAAATTTTTTAAGACAGGAAAATATGTTGTAGTGAAAAAATTGAGGCTTGAGAAAGGAAAAGTATCACACCAAAAGCCCCAAAATATGGCGAAAAATGGTAGACAAGGTTTTCACATAAAAAATCATTGTAATGGCCGAAAATGGCAGAAAGGGATTGTACATAAAAAAATCATGGTAATGGCCGAAAATAGCAGAGGATTTGGACATAAAAAATTACAAATGATGCTTAAACAAATATGGCGGAATTTTTACCTAAAAAAAAAACGAGAGAGAGAGAACTAACCATGGGAGAGAGAAAAAACAAGATAAAGAGAGAAAAAACAGGGGAGAGAAAAACTAGAGAGAGAGAGAGAGAAAGCCAATGGGGAAAGAAATAACCAGAGAGAGAGTGAAAATCATGGGAGATCAAAAAATTCAGAGAGAGCGAAAAAACTATGAGAAAGAAAAACCGTAGAGTGAGAAAAATCAGGGCTTCTAAGATGTACCTTGTTGTGAGGAAGCTTTGGCGAGGAGGCTCATTGGCGAAGAGGGAAGCGGCAAGGATGGTCTCTCGCCTTTGTGGTTTTCATCTCTGCGGCTAGGGTTGGGTCTGCAGCTAGGGTTTCATCAGTGAGAAGTTCTTCACAAGGCTTCCAGCCTGTTTCATCATGGACAAAGTTCCCTTTTTTCATTGGCATAAAGTTCCTTTTTTAAGTTGTGTAAAAACACGGAACTTTTCTAAGCCTAAAGGGGTAACTTCTACGGTACTAAGAAGTTCTCGTAACTTACATTTTTTTATCAAACATACAACTTCTACAGTAACAAGTAAGTTCCATCTTTTGGTAAGTAACTTCTTGTTATCAAACATGCCCTTAATGTAAGTGGAAAGAATGGATACCAGCTAATGTTAGATAACATCAGAAAACAAGTCATCATCATCATCAGAGTCTTATCCCAACTATTTCGGGTTGGCTTCATGAATCTTGTTTCGTCATTTTGCTCTATCAAGAGCCACACCCTCAGTGAGACCATAAATCCCCGTATCTTTTCTCACTACTTCCATCCATATATTTTGGGGCCTTCCCCTTGCCCTTTTAGAGCCTTCTACTTGAACCAAATCACACCTCTTAACCGGTGTTGTATTGGATCTACGCTATACATGGCCAGCCCAACTAAGTCTACTTTCCCTCATTAGAACATTAGAAAACAATTAAACACAAAATTTAATGGCTATTGAACTTCATAAGGAAAAAGTTTATATAAAGCTAAGGCTCTAAATAATCAAATTAGAGCCCACCTCAAAAATTTCACTAGAAGAGGTTTGTTTTGATGCCCAAATATTCTCAAATTGATCATCTCGATATAAAGATGCATGGACAAGAGAAAAAAATGGATTTCAAGATGGAAATAGTGCATCTTGTATCGCATTTTTTGACCGTAAATTTTCAAGATTTTCAAGTTTTCATAGATCTGCTCGATCTACACTATTTTTGAAGCTTTAAATTTTATAATTAAAGATGGGAATATATTTTTAAGGCTATCACAAAGATTTCCAATATTGAAACCACATTTCTCGACACTATTTAAAGGTGTGCTTTACTTTGACTGTTTAGAGCCGAGGCTCTAAACAAACCGCACCCCTTAAGTACGAGTGTGGTTTCTATAAGGTTGCAACCTTAAACAATCCAATTAAGGCACACCTACAAATTTTATCATACCATGCAATATTGATGTAAAAAATTCTTAGGATTATCTGAAAATTATAAAATTCTTAGGATTATCTGAAAATCTCTCTCTCTCTCTCTCTCTCTCAAAGTGAGTGTGTGCGCAGGCGCGTGCATGTGCCCATGTGTGAATATAATATGTGCATAAAACAACTCATGTAGAAGTTTCAAAGCATTTCATATGCATATTATTACTGATCAAAAAGTATATGGGCATTCTTCCAAGCGCTTCACACAGCTGTAAAAGACGTTAAAAAAAAACACCAAAAATCTTCATTTCAATTGTAGGGGAGAACACACAGTAGAATGTCTTAAAATTTAATAACAGAAGATAGAATTATCCATCAAAGGTCATGTCTTCATTTCTGACATAAAATGGAATAGTTAGATGTAATATGTAGCAAATGAATATTCTAAAGATGTATTGATCTCAAGACACACTTATATTGTGTTTTTAATGAACCAAATGAACCGTCACTGCTGATGATACATCTTTTAGAAAAATGTAAGATAGTCTAATACTAAATTTCTCATTAGAGGGAATTTGAGAACACTTGCAACGTACATACTGAACATGTAACCCATGAAGAACCCATCAAATACTAAAATATATTTATTATTCACTTCTGCTGAATATCAATACTGCAAAGGTGTTATGAACACATTAACAAAAGATTAAGGATGTTCAGCAACTCTAATCTCTTCTCTTGAATCCAGACCACAGCTAGTTCTCTACAAAATAATTTACAAGTTTCAAAGACCCATGATTTAATAACAATGTTTTCAGTATAATAGAAGATAAACTTACTTGACATCTCACCCATCTAATCTAAAATTAATAGTTAAAGAGCTCGAGATGATATACAACTGTTTGATTACTTTTAGCCTCCCCCATGGAATGATGTGAAGTGTCTTTTATCTCATAGTTTTAGAATTCCAACATTTGTTGCATCCCCTATAATTCTTTTCCTTTGGGACTCATTCCATTTCTAGCTAATTCCACCTCCAAAAGCAAGCTCCTAAGAAGAGGCTTCTAATGGTATGTGCTTGTATCGAGTAATATAGTTAGTGATTCAAGAAATTATAAAGTACCAGAAATGGTGCACATTTCTTTATCACCAAGAAAGACACCCAATTGAAAGTAAATGGATTGGAAAGGGTAAGTTTAATCCAAATGATGTTGGGTGGAGAGTAGGGCTCCAATGCTCAAGATTAAAAGAAGATGACACCCAAAGAATTGTTAGTGAAAAATGGAACATCTATCAACCCTACAAGAGGGCTTAAACGTTAGAGAAATGGAAGACACACACATCAAGCTAGGCTCAAAGAAATTAAGGGAGCAATTTGAAATGCATTTGGCTCCAGATTCAGGTTTAGAATAACAAATTTAGAGAAACATATGGGGGCATCCTGGAGGAACATTTTACATCAAGACACTACAGGTGCCCAACTGAACACGAAATGTATGTTGTACAGACAAGTAGCTTTGGAGAATGTGCTTATATGGCTCTGGAGGTTGATATATGGAGGAACGGCGACTTTCAGTGGTGGCCTTATTGGCCTCAGCTATTAAGGCCCCACAGCCCTTGATGCTTTAGTTAGGATTTTGAGCGCAAAGAAAAGACACTCAATAGCTTTGCAGATATAGCAACTTACAAATAATCTTATTAGGGTACTTGTCATGGAAAATACGAAACGTAGCACCAGAGCTAACCTTCCTGCTGATTTCTGGATGGCTTGGGTACTGTGAAGTTCATCAATGCACTATGAAACACAAATGGTATGCCATGACTAATGCATATGCATTTCTTATAAGAGAAATGGTATATGCTTATGACCAATGTGTCTTCAAATCTACTTTTACCACGGATACCATAGAGAACCCCTAGTTAAAGTATTGAAAATGGTGGCAGTAAGGAGAAAATTGCTGGGGTTTATTGTTACTCCAGAACAATCTTCAAGAAGAGAAAGTCCAAGCGTTGGTTTGAATAATTGTAGCCAATAAAAAGGATAATCAACTTAATCTTCACAGATTCTTTAGCGACACACTTGTTTACATGGAGCGATCCAAGACAAACACCTCTAATTGAGAGTCAACCAAGTTTTTGAACTACAACAGGAATGGAGAGCAATTATATGCAATGGTGATAAGACCATGTATAAATTAATTTCTTCTTCTTTTTTTTTGAGAATGTTTACTTGTATTGCGTGTGTCACAATTTACAAAAAGAGGCAGTTTATAAGAAAGGGCGCTCCATACAACTGCCCAAAGAAGGCCAAAAAATGTTTTACATCAAGGAAGAAAAAATACAGCAACGGAATGTAGAGGAGGAATCAATGATCCCCAAGGTCCCCAAGATGGGGTCAGAGTGGGCTCCCTCCCTAGCCAGAATGTCGGCGACAGTATTGGCTTCCTTAAAGAAATGATACTTGTAGACTTCTGGAAATTTGCGATATCTCCCAAAAAATATGTTCAAGTCTCCGAGTGCAAGAAGAAGGATTGGAGGCCCAGGCTATAACATTCCTAGAATCCCCTTCCACACATAGCACAGGATTCCAAGAGGGGTTAAACTTCCAAAGGCCCTCCAGTAGGGCAAGAGCCTCAGCAAGAGTTGAGTTGGCTATACCAATAGCACGGGAGAAAGTTAAAAGTAATACTTCCATCATGGGATCTGAATAAGCCCCGTATGCCAGAGGGCCCAGGGTTGCCCAGGGAGCAACCACCAAAATTAAGCTTGGTACACCCCTCCTCCGGTGGTCTCCAAAGCGATGCCCATGAGATCCTCGGGGTTGACAACACTAATAGGGAGGTCATTTGCTATAAAGATCAGAATAAGCAGTCTTTAAAGAACTTGTGATTTTTGGCCAGGAAAGAGACCATCCTACGAATCTTGTCAATCATAGAGGCGACCAAGGACCTCTCACCTTCAAAAGTTCTGTTGTTTCTTTCGGTCCATATCACCCACATGATTGCTGCGACAGAAGCTCTCGAAAGAATGTGACCTGCTTTGGGGCTATGTGGCATACCTCCCCCACCATTTTCCAAGGAGGGCTGCAATGTGGATTCTGAGATTGCGAATGGCCCAAGCTGTCTTGGGCTTTTGGCCTGCAGAGTTTGGGCCACGATATGAGGTGGTACTTGTGACCATTGTCCCCAGACCAGAAGAACTCCACATCATCCTCTCTAATCTGGCAGCAATGGAGGCAGGGATAAAAAATTTTAATTAAAAATGAGATGTGGTGGCCCACCACATATTATGTTCCAGGTGATCATTAACATGTGTCTTATCTCATGCCAGCGTTGGTGCTCATTAACTCTCTTATGTGCCTCGTTCATTTATACTACATATTTTTTTCTTTATTTTATTTCTACTAAATATTTATTTTTATTTATACTCGATATTTTCTCTTTACTTATTATTCTTAACACTTCCTCATCTAACCATTGATGTAGCTTATCGATACAGTGAATTTGAGAGCAACAAGGCATTTTTGAATTGCGTCATTAGATAGACATGCACAACAAACCAGTCGCAAGTATTGGTGGACAACTTGACCAAGTATCGGTGGGGCCCATGATGCTCTGATATTAGTATGGATGGGGATGCATAAGGAGAACAGTGATGTAACTTGACATTTCTCTAAATTTAGGATATGGATACTTGTATCCTATCTATCACATCTATAAATATATATTTTAGCTTGTATAATATAGTAATATATGCATCCATCACATGATACGAATACATAACATATCGTAATGTCCACTGTTACACGTTATTCACATTATGTTTTTATAATTATGTCAAATCACATTTGCAAGTATCCTAGCCAGTGTGGGAAAGAGTAACTCGGACTCAGCCCAAGTCTAGCCAAGCCAAAAAGTGTTCAAAAAAATAAAAAATAAAAAAATCCCAAAAAATAGGAAAAATATGTTAAAATAAAATTAAACAAAACACATTTAAATGAGGTTAAAAAAAGTAGTGAAAAATGGATTGACCAAATCAATTTGTGAATGGGGGTATTATTTTTAAAATACAAAAAGAAGGGAAATGTAAAAATACGTATTCACGGCCAAACACTTTACAATCTTTGCTAAAATGATAGAAAACATATAAAAAAAACATATTACAAATAAATTTATTATTTTTTTGGATTTTTTTTTTATTTTTTTTTAAGATCCCCGAGTCAGACCACCCAAACTCAGGGATACTTAGACTTGTCAGGGTGGCAAGTCCGAGTTACTCGGACTAGTCCACACTGATCCTAGCAACATCTGGTATTAGTACCGGCATAGCAACCATAAGACACCAGCACAATAAGCATATACAAGTCCATGCATTATAGCTTGGAGCCCACACAAATTACAACCAATTACTTACTTTGTAATTTGCTGCTCAGGTTACAAAGAGGTGTCACATGCAAATGCAGCCTAATGGATTTCACTTTTCTCATTTTCCTTTAACTTCATGCCATGCATCTCCAATGAATCAAATGTCAAATGAATTCCCTGGTAGGAGGATGAAGAAGCCATAATGTTCCCACCTAGTCACCGAAGCATGTAATGATTGGTAGGAGATTGCCGTAGGGTAAGGAGTAAACAAAGGATATGAAGAAATAAAGCATCAAAGGAGCTAGAGCAACTAAAGGTTTGATGCTAAGAAAATTTTGATAAGGAGCTAGAACAGAATGATAGAAAGCATTGTGAAACTTTTAGTTTCAATTTTGCAAAATAAATAGTACTTGCAACAAACTTAATTTAGTTTTATTATGGGAATCAAAGAGGAGGGTGATGGGGAAGATGACAATGATGCTGACAAAGAGACAACTATGATGAAACTGATTACGTCTTTGATTTCGTAGCATGAGATAGTATTCTTGGGTTAGAATCAAGGAGAGGAGACTTCCATATGAATACTTGACAATTGTTTTGACATTTATTTTTTATAGGTAGGCATTTGCTCATAACTTTCTAATGAATCGAATTATATAGATACTCAAACATGTCAGACAAACAAATGCGACTATATTTGTTCAAGTATTCATTTATTCGTTCAGCATGCTTAGTTTGTTTTTCTGGTAATACTAAAGAATTTCTGAATGCTGCTCATTTACACACGACATTAGAGATACTGAAAAATGCATGCCCTTAATGATGTTTTATTATTGCTTTTATGATATCACAGTTTTATTATTGCTTTTATGATATCACATTGTCAATTTGTATAAAATTGAACTATTAAACATGTGTAATACATGTTAAAAAGGAATTTCTAACATTACCTTTTTCTTTTCTTTTCTTTATACTTTCTGGATATTTGGAAAATTTTCTTTTTTTTCCAAACTATTGAACAGTCGGACAATTAATTGGGACAAAGTTAAACCAGAGACCATTTTGTCAATTTGATAATTTTCCAGTCCAATCAACATCGATATGCAGATATGGAAACCAAACCAGATCACTGCAAGCAGTATATATGTAGGCAGTCAGCTTGTTCACATTCAATATATCCTCAATCAGTATTTTAATACTTGGGGCTCAGCGAGTGCCCAGAGTCAGCCGGCTCTGGAAGTCTTGAAATGACTCAGAGATTCATGTCCTAGTTGAAGAAAAAATGTTCAAAAAATCCTGAAAAATAGAAAAATAGGACAAATAAAAGAAAAATGAAAAATCATACAAGATTATAGAAACTGTATACAAAATGAAAATTAATGTAAAGTAAATTTTTAAGGCGAATCCAGATAGGTTCAGTGAGAAAAAAAAAAGTAAGAAAAAGGGGTTGGCCAAACCTCTTCTGATATTACAAATCTTGCAAATCCGACATTTTTATTTTTTTTTTGTGGATTAATGCCATGGAAATTTTGGATTCAATAGAGGACAGCAACATATGTTTAGGGATGAACTTTCAGGGGGATTGTAGCTCTCGGCGATAGGAACAAGCAAGAAAGAGGGATCACATTTCTTTCCCTTTTTATTTTCTGAAAAAGTGTTGGACTTGTCAAGGTCTCAAGTACTCAGTTGAGTCCCACGGCGATTTGGCCTACATTAGGGGCCCCTGCGAGTTGAACTAGCAGGCTGCCAGTTCTGAGCAACTCACCTGAGCCCATGTCAGACTCATAGAGTTTTAGAAAACTGCAATACATGGTTTAATATGCACAGGGCCGTTGAGTAGTTCTTTATAACTTTCGAACTAGGCTGGTTCTCCATTTAACAAGAGACCCAATGTATATCCCATGTCTTCTATGGACATCTCTTATATCCTAGAAGACTACATGCCAAATTACCTTCCAATTGGTCTAAGGGTGAAGTACATAGCCATGGCACACACAATGACATTGTTCTGATATGCACAATAGAGATCCAATCAAATAGTATATGAATTCTTTTTTGTCCTGTCATCATGCTCAGATAAAGCAAATCAAGATCGATTTCCATTTATCATGGAGCGTCTCATTAATGGTGTATACCCATTCTACATGACACTTCCAAGAAGTATATTACAGTTTTCAACTCACTTTATTACTATCTAGCACACCTCAAACTATCATCTTTGGACCTTACAACACTTGCATTGATATTGGGAGGAAAAAGATCTAACTAAGTTGTTGGTATTAGTTTCATTTGTGACTCATAGGCCCATATTGTTTTACATACATCAAGTAATGACAACTATTCCTTAGCGCGTGAGTACAAACATATATGTCCTAAAAGGATGCTTACTGCAAGAGATGGATCTAAGTAGAAACAAAATGACAGAAAGAGCCACTTTGAAAAATAACTTCAACAAAATTGAGACTAGGAACCCATGTATGCTCATTACAAATGCCTAGAATAGGGTCATTTTTCCAAAGTGTCATTTAGGTTGCTCTAAAATGGCATTTAGATTGTTTACACTCTTACTAGTATCTTCTTTTCTAGCTCAATAGGTAAGGTTGTAAATTCATAGTGAACATGATTAATAAAGGGCATACCCCTACAACTAAAAGTGAAAAATAATACTCAAAAGACATGCCTGTGAGAAGAAACATCTAATATGGAGGACTTGCCTACTAGCAATGTCCTAATGAATTCACCAAATAAATAGTCTGGATGCTCCTATAGCCACAAATCCTTGTTGCTGCATTGGGCTGCCTTACCTGAAAGTTGGTCACCCATCATGTTAGGCTTTCAAAATACCTGAATTGAGATTCAATCTCAGAAGGAAAGAGGCTGTATGGAACAAATTTTTGTCCAACAAAAAAATAATAAATGCAGCTCAGTTCCTTTCAGATGCTGTTTGGATTGCTTCATCAAATTCAATTCAGGGTAGCAATTGATAGTTACATAATTCATCAGTCACCAAAGGCCATTTCTGAGAATTAAGAATAGACCATATGAGAAATTTTATTTAATGCCAACACTAGGGTCATTTGTACCATAGTAGCTTATGCATGCCCATGTCATTGGATAATAATAACATACATGCAATCCAACATGAAACTAACTTTGTGGTATTAAAAAGAAAACTGGAATGTAGGAAATAGATTGGTTATCAAGATTTTGTATCGCACAGATCACGATTAATAATCTACCTTGTGTTTTAGAAATTAGGACACTGATTGTACAGGATACAGCACTTAAGAAAATTGAACTATTGCAAACAAACAAAACTCTAAATATCAATTCCAGTTTTTGGTGTATACGATACAAACCCCAAGTTTTAACATCAACAATGAACTAGACATGTTATTCCGCTACAAAAATGACCCCTTGATTCTTGGAAACAAAATAGCAATGTTTTACATGTTGTGCAGCATATCTTTCATTAAGCATTGAAATGTCAACTATCTTTCACCTAAGTAATGTGGAACTCATGCCAACATGCCTTGGTACATTCAACAAGTGTCCTGAAACACGACTCGGCCAAGGTAGTACACAGACCTTGGCTGAGGTGAGTAGCCGAAGTTTAAAAAAAATAAAAATGATGATAAAAAAATATACTCTGTATAATAAAATATACTCTGTATAATATAGCTTCACTCCTTGAAAGGCAAGTTGGTTATGTATTCCGACATTCGGACCTTCCTTTATGAGAAGTCCTAAGTTCAATCATTGTCGTTGTTTTTCTCTTTTTTCTTTTCTTTTTGGAACTCTCATCCTTTTAAAATAAAAATAAAAATGACGGTCTTGCTGGTTTTAAAAATTGAAGTTTGCTGGCTGGAGGTGTTCAAACCTCTACCATGTTGGGACATGTGCGTGGCACTACCTAAGAAACCTAACCTAAACTTCACATATTAATATAATTTAACTTTACAAAGAGGTGGTGTACAGCCTACTCACCCGAAACTCACCTCGCCCTTAGGGCGAGGCCGAGTAACTCAACCAAGTCCGAGTGGCCTCGTCTGAGTCTAGGAAAATAACATTATATTTTATTATTCCTTTTTGGAGAGAATGCATAAACTTATTTATTTTTACTTTTTGGCATTTTGTTCCAAACTAATGAGAAGGTACTAAAGTAATCTAGACCATGCAAATGCTGAGACATATTGGTTGAAAGCAGTCTTCTAAAACTTGGCCGAGGCCACTCGGACTCAGCCAAGTTACACAGCCTTGGCAAAGTGAATTTCAGGCTAGTAGGTTGTACACTATGTTTGTAAAGTTTATTTATACCAATATGTGAAGTCTAGGTCACATACGCTTGAATAGCTTCTTGGATAGTGCCCACGCACATGTCCCAGCATGGTAGAGTTCAAACCCCACCAGCAAACTTCAATTTTTAAAAGGTTCAAATCCCACCAGCAAACCTCAATTTTTAAAACCCATGAAACCATCATTTTTTCTTCTTCTTTTTAAGCTTGGGAATTCAAAAGAAAAAAAGAAGGCAACAAGGATTGAATTCAGGACCTCTCATAAAGGAAGGTCCCAATGTCAACATACATAACCAACACGCTTTTTAACGTTTAATGTCAAGATGTGAAAGTTATATTATATTTTTTATCATCATTTTTATTTTTTTAACTCGGGCTAGACTGGGCGAGTCCGAGTAACCCGCCCAAGCAACTTACCTCGGCCAAGGTCTAAGTACATTGGCCAAGTCGTGTTTCAGAACGCTATAATAGTGAAGTAATATAACTATGAATGCATAACCAGAAAGAAGCAAGAAGTTAGAGACAACCACTCACAATTGAGCATGCTTGGAGAAGGCAGCTGGGAGGATGAATAATTGGGCTGACCGATAAGGGGAGAAGGCCTCCCTACTTCATGGTTGGAGACTTGGTGATGATAAAGCCCCAACCTAACCAACTAAGAAGGTGCACAAGGGATTGGTAAGAAGGTATGATGGGCCCTTCCCAATCCTAGGCAAGTTTACTTAGTCTCTCATCCTTGCAGCGCCTTTGATCACCAACCATGGACACTAACACCTCTAACAATTCATCCAGCCCTTCACTATTATCTCCCAGGGCCTTGAAAGCACAAACTATACTCTCTATAGTAGACAAACACCCTTTCTTGGGTTGAACCCTTACCTCACTATACAAACTCTCTTTTTTCATATCCAGCTTCAAATGGGGCAAAAGCTTCAACCATGGATTCTCATAGTATATTCTCCGGGCCTTACCCCAAGTCCCATCCAAAACTAGTAAATGCTTCACCTCAAAATCAATCTCAGCAAAGCTTTTGGCATTGTCACTTGGGAAAAGCAGGGCTGAACCAGGAGGAATAGCAATTTCAAACTCTTGAAACTCCTCAAATTCATCACGACCATTGTCATCATTAACCAGCTTCTTGATCTGACGCCTTTTTACTACGAACCCACTTGAGATAGCTTCTTTGGCTGATGGAGTGGGCAAAATCTGATCAAAATGTTGCATTCTTGGGAGGTTCTTGGGCGCTGTAAAGGCACCAATAAAGTTACCATTGTCTGTTGTTGTGGTATTACCAAAGTCTGGCTTATTGGGGTGGTTTTGAGCAACAGGAGAACTGGTGACACCACCACTCTGTCTAATGGTTGTTTGATCAAAATATGGTTCTTTAGGGTTAGTAAAGATTGCGGTTTGATCAACCCTTGATTTTTCACATTGGCTTCGAGGGGCTTCGTGATCAATCAAGCTGTCGCCATAGCCATTACCTTTCTCAAGTCTAGATTGATGATCTGATTTTTCTGAGTGGTCTTGGGGTAAATGGAGTTCCATGAAACCATTTTCAAAACTACCATCTTCACTAAAACTTGTAATTTGATCAATTTCTGGGCTTTTTAGATGGTTTTTATAATATTGAAGATCGATGAAACTACTGGTAAAACCACCATCTTTATCCACTGTTGGTCCGTGAAACCCCTGTTTTGAAAGATGGTTTTGAGGCAAACACCCATTTTTGCTGATGATTCCTAAAATGGTAGTATTAGAATCTGGTTTCAGAGGACTAATGAGAAACTGGGCTTGATGGTGAATATCTGATACAGTAACAACAGATATATTTTTCAACCCAAGCAATGCAATCCTTGTGGAGTTAAGTGGATGCTTCTTTTCCTGAGAGTGTTGCAGAATTGTAATGGGAATTGGGTTGTCAATAATTGGGGTTTTGAGCCTTTTGCAAATGCAAAAAGAGGCAGGCTTTGAGCATGAGTTGCAGAATGGTCTTTTAGTAGTTGGGTTTGCCATCTGTGGGTTTGTTCAGAGTTAGAGAGAGAAGATCTTTGAAAGCAAGAGAGTTTTCGAAGGAAGGGTTCTTCAGGGTTAGATGGAGAGACGTTTTGGTTGTTGAAAAGCTTGAGAGAGAAGGGTTTAAATGGAGGTTTGCAGTGCCAAACATGAAAAGTTGAGGACCAAGGTGGCATATTGAATCTGGAATAATTGTGTTGCGTTCTAGGGCGAGGCGAAAATGGCTGGAGCAGTGTGCTATGCTTTTAGGTACCCACTTAGTAGTTAGGACACGTAGCTCTGAAGAATTTCTTCCCATGCATGCCAGGCCCACAACAGCCCAAGCTGAGGGATGGTCATCAGGTCAAACCGTCTGTTCTAGGTCTAGGTGTTGGATCCAGCAGGCTGGGTCTGTGGCTAAATGATCGGGCCTGATTTGAGTCAGGTTTGGGTGGCCCCGACCCAACCCCTCTATATACAACTATAAAATATATAGTAGGGGAATGATTCTATGGAACGGTTGTGTATAATAATATAATGTAACAAGGACAATGGCTCTTACCTTTGGCAGGAATTGAGCCTAAGATGTAGCCTTACAAATTATCAAGTGCTAATCAATTACGCCCAAGCTCTTTTCTTATATACTATAACAATCTTCAAAAACTATATTAATGTCATTTGTTTGATCCCAATTTTACACTCTTTTCATTCTATTGATCAATCACAAAAAAAAAAACAAAATGCTACAAACAAGGTTTTTTAGAAATGTGGTTGCATTGTATTACTATTGGGATGAAGAGCGGGTGTATGTAATTTTTTAGGTGATACAAATGCTACAAACATGGTTCTCTAGAAGTGTAGTTGCATTGTATTACTTTACAACCATTGCATAAAATCATTATCCAAATATATATATATATATATATATATATATTATAAATATATGAAAAATGATCATATAAGACCCTCTCCTACTCATGTGTATAGGACCTCAAAAGATCACCATTCAATTTGGCACGAACCCATAAAAAAGTCAAGTCTCACACCCATTTCTTAACTTTTTTAGATATCCTTGCCAATTTTAATGGTGATGCTTTGGGGTCCTACACACATGGGTGGGGAATGATCTTATAGGATTATCACTCTAAATATATATATAAAAAGATTGTATACAATGATACCACTTACCTTTGATACAAAGTGATCACAATTACTCACAACCATCCGATATAAATTTTGATAGTTAGGGTGTGTCACAAAATTCCAAAAAATTTCTTTTGAAGTTTGAGCTTGGTCAATGGAATAAATGCACCCACCCAATTTCACATCCCAATACTCATGATTAATTGTGACCACCTTGTACCAAAAGAAAAATACTTCATTCTATACTTTTTCTATATAAATTCTTTTTTTTTTACTCGGATCTAACTCAGGTGTATGATATACCTAGTAAGGTTGGGGTCGACCTGAACCTGATCCAAACCGTTTCCACCCTTAAAACAATGGCCCTATTTTCTTTTTCTCTACTTTTTCTAATTTTTTGCCTTTCGTCTAGTAGGCTGTATAACTTAACCTACCCTAGACCAGGCAAGGTTGAGCCAGGGCCCCAGCCCTCACCCTAGCCCGGCCTATTCCAGGCGAGGAGAAAATAAGAGGAATGAGAAAACAAAAAAAAAGTAGACAAGTAATACATGGAACCTATCCAACTTCACCATCAAATAAGGAATTGGTCTTGGATGTTAGTAATAGTGTAGATAAAAACAAATGTTTATAGTAGGAAAAGTATTTTCCTCATTTCCCCATGAGGGGGGAGGGGGGAGGGGGGATTCAGATAGGTGTGAGGCCAGAAAAGGAAGGCTTCGGGAAAAGAAAAAAAAACACCATAGAAGGCTTGGAGGTATGCATTTTTCCATTTTTCAGGAGTGTGAACTTTAAATTTGAAGTGCTTCCTACTTGACAAACTACGAATTGAAACTAGGGCACAGAAAATTCCAATTGTCAAACATGCATTGCAATTAGTGTGGATTATTAGTTGGAAAAAGTTTTTGACGATGATAAATTAACGTGGTTTATTTAGTGACACCCAAAACATGTATATCTTTAGACGCGACACTTAAATGATGCGACCGGATCAGTATAAAAATATAAAAACGAAAACAACGTAGTTTTCACCTAGAGTGCAAGATAAGCTCTTTGATGATAGGACGCGGTTAGCATGCAGTCGACCCGCATATTGTAGAAATATGGGCTTGGCAATAAATATAATTTGATCTTAATTTTTAGAGAATATATAATACTTAACATGGAGATCATGAATATGATTTTTTTTTTTTTTCAGATCTAGAAATAATAAACAAAAATTTGGACCGTTAGTTATAATTCTTTTTAGATGGGCCATCTATTCGCATCCATCTTTAAGATTGATGCTTTATACCTCTAGCTAGAAATGCGGTCCATCAATTGTTCTTGATGAAAATCAAAAGGAAAATTGACATAAACACTTGAGGCAGCCAAACAAGTGAATTGATTGATCTCTCTCTTGATAAACATTGCATTAACCAAAAGAAACCATGGGTGTCTTATTACAAAACCCCAAATTATTTTCTCCTCAAATACATTATGATATTGAGTAAGCCACACAATGGGGCTCCAATTACATAGCATCTAGCCCTAGCCCATCTTTCCTGGAGCCGGTGCCGACGGTGTGTTTACGATGAATGTGCAGTTTGAGTTGGTGCAGTAAGAGTTGAGTAAGCCACACAATGGGGCTCCAATTACATAGCATCTAGGCCTAGCCCATCTTTCCTGGAGCCGGTGCCGACGGTGTGTTTACGATGAATGTGCAGTAAGAGTTGAGTTGGTGGACCAAGCCAGGGGGTAGCCCTCCAGGAACCAAGAACGAGGCCCAACATTGTTCTTCCACCGAAAGAACGGCCTCGCAGCAATCCATTCTTGGGTAGTTTTTGCCGGTCTGAAAGAAACTGTAAACTTCTTGTGCGCATCTTGCTACGCGTGCAACAGACATCAAGCACTCTGGCCATCCGGCCAGATGCGCGAATTGCTTCACGTCGTTGGCTCGCGCCAGCACTGGCATGGAGGTGGCTAGTAGGGATGTCAAGGTGAGGAAAACCGCACAGGCCTGGTTAAACCCCATTGTGATCTTCTAATTCTCTCTCTCTCTTGTGTTTTTAGAGGAGCTTATGTTTTATGAGATGAGGGAGGGAGAAATTTATAGGGTAAGTTTCGCATTAGATGATGACATAGTATAAGTTTAGTAATAGGTGGTTGGAGGGATAAAACATTGTAGCTGGTCCTTGCTTTGTTGTGGATGGTTTAAAATGACCTACATGCTTATTTAAGTTGAAATGGGAGAGAGTGTGTCTTTAAATGGACCAAATTGTCCTTGTAAAGGAGGTTGGCCAATACCCACTATTAGTGGGCTTTTGGGACTTGAAAATTTTAAAATATTTTTCTTTTTAGCTCAATTTTGAAGAAAGAAAATTTTAATTGTAGGGTGTAATTTGCAACTTTGCATAAGGTTGCGACCTTAAGCAAATTACTAAGGAACCCTCCAAACTTTGTCCATGAGACGTAATTTTGGTGTTGAAATTTTTTTAAAATGGGGTAAGAATCTATTTTAATCTCAACGTTATAAAATTTTAAACTCACATAATAGTTCAAATTAAGCAGATCTATAAATATATTAAAATATTGAAAATGGTCATGGCCTAATATAAGGGATTTT